TGGAAACATGGAGGGGGAGCTTTTGAGGAACGTGCAATAGGGGAAGGTAAAAACTTCTAAGTTACATAATTCAGTATCAACTTAATTCTGCAGCAACTTTTCAGTGGTTCATTGCTTAGATTTGTCATTAGATCTGTCAAAAACAAAACTTGTAGAACCGAAGTATAGAAGTAAGTTTATGGCTCCCAGTGCTCATGGCAAAACTGCTGCTTTCAGTGGGTCTTAGATTTTAGCAGACGCTCCAGGGGCCTTCCCCTAAGAGCATCCTTTCACAGTTACAGTAAGGAGAGCGAGTAGCTCGAGAAGGATTATAAAGTGACTATGAGGCCCTTGAAATTGACTTGTGCTATGATTTTCCCTCAAATTTCATTAACTGTTTTAAGAAATATAAAGTGACCCAACCTTGCATAGTTCAAAGAAAGGAAAAAATGTAGGGATCCACAACCATGAAACTTAAAGCAAATACAAATTTCTGTACTGCAACTGGAAGGATTTTATATAATCTTGTATCATGATTCTGCAAAATAACTTGCAGTGGCTCTCTGAGGGGAAAAAAATAAAAAAGGCAAATGCTGTTTAAAATAAACTACTAAATCCTAAAAAAAAAAAAAAAAAAAAAGGAAAAATGTTTATTAAAAAACATAGAACTCCCATAAGGCTCTTACTTTAGTCTATGGCTGGCATAGATTTATTTGAATCAAACAGGAAATATTACTAATTGCAAAACTGCTAATCATACTGTTTTAATGAAGCTGTTGTTTAACACATTGAATAGCAATGCAGCAACACACAGAAAATTAGCATGTTTGCCACTGATTAATGATAGATGATGCCTGCAATTCACCAGAGTGGTTCCTTTGAGCAATTCTCTGTGTATGAACTTGGGTTCCTCAGGGGAAGTCACCACTTGCACAGTCTAATGCTTCAGCACAGAAGTCTATACAAATAGTAATGGACTTTAAGCTGAAAAAGGAACGTGATGTAGGCGACGGTACTGTAATACAAATTATTTCATTCAGATAAGTGACAGAAATTTAAGGGTCGAACAAATGTGTGAAGAAATGTGAAGAAATCTTCCAGAGCCCTTGAAACTTCTTCCACTTGGGCTCCAAAGCATGAAAGGATGCTCTGCAGCATTCGATGACCAGTCACACAAGAAAGACTTCCATGCAGGATCCTCCAAAGGTTCCGATCCTGCGGAACTGTGTAGAGGCCACCTTGTGACTACGTATAAGCAAAATTCAAATAGGGAGAAAAATCAAGAGCACACACCAAGAAATAAGGACGTTGCACTGCTTGTGTGCTTGGAGCACGGAGTGCCGGGTGATGCATCACTAGCATTAGGTAAATGAGGAGGGGTGGTGCCTCTGTGAGCAAGGGCCTAGAAATCCAGGCACGAGTGTAGCAGCATCTTGTTCCCGTGGTGCTGCTTGTTCCGTGCTCAGCTTCACGTGCGATGGAGGTCTGAAAAAGGTCGCATGCTTGGGATGTTACTGATTAATAGAGAGGTAGGGCCAACTGCCATGGTAAACCACAGGAAGATCTTAAAATACTTTAAGACAACGTCCAGGTCCTGGTCACCTTCCCCCTGTGTGTGTTGTCCTGTTGGTTCAGCTGGTCACAAGCAGATATTGTCTGGTAATCTCCGTTTCAGCATTTTCTACTCGTGCTTATTAAAATGAAGAACGTATTAGCCCTCTAAACCCATTTATTAACCATAAACGCTCTTTATGTCTTTAGGTATATAGTACCATAAGTGTATAAATAATTAATTCCTGAATAAAAAAAATCCTGAATTTGGAGGTGGAAAACGGAGGCAAGGTAAACCTGAAAGAGATATATCGAGAATAATCCTTGTCAGGAGAAGAAAATGGCACAGTCCTGAGCACTGCAGTACTGCTATGAGAGATGTTTAGCTTAGAGGTGCTAGGAGCCTTTCTGCCCTCGCACACACATCCTTCTGCCATGGGGAGCAGGGCATGGGGGGCCGGTCCTTTCCACGCAGGCACAATAAGCTCGTGGGATTTGATAGGGTGGCAGTGCAAATGCTGTCACTGAGTCCAGGCTCTTGTTACTGCCTTGTTTTGTTCTTGAGGAAGTTGTGTCAAGCAAACGTTTCTAGTTCAGCAGGGTGACTTGCCAGTAGAGGGCGAGATGATTCCACTCTGCAGCAGATTTCTTGGAAGAACAGTCACAAGGGCAACACTACCCCGTTGCTGTTAACTGTGTAGTTAGCCGCAGGTAGCTGCTGTGGTTAGCTGCTCGTGCAGGACAAAGCTCATGTGAAGGAGTGAGCTGGACCTTGTCTTTCACAGCGTCTTCCTGCTGGATTTTCCCAACTCCTTGCTGTTAGTCTAGTGCCATAGTATGCCTGCTTAGGTGGGTATTTAGACCTCTTCTCACCTCTGATCTGCTACTGAAAAAATATCAACTATCAACAACTAAAGAAAAGTAAAAAAATCTCCAACACAAGTAGGAGTGCACAAGCAGTGTACAGAGTTAAGGCTGCAGTGTTTGATTCCATTACCAAACTATAAATATGAAATAATTAAGGGGTGTATTCCTGTTTCTTGCAGGATTTTTCTTCTGTTCACAGATAGACATAATCAATGCATTTTCCATAAAATTCTGTCTTCCTTTGGATGGCTGGGTAAAGATATCTGCCTTGGGGGGGAAAAAAGTTCCTATCTGCAACTGATAAGAAACTTGAGAGTCTTCCAGGGACTTTTGCTGTGCAACAACGTACAGGATCGTTCCCAAGGTTAGTGAGGACAAGAACTGCTTGAGAGCTAGGAAGTGACTTAGGCATTACGGGTAAATGTGAAGGGCAAGACCACATTAGGAACTACAATAAGTGTTTTCCCGGTTTGTACACACTGGCTAAACCAGAAACCATTTCCCAAGGAAGCAGTTTTCCCAAGAATTGCAGCTGATAGAAGGTGAACTGGTTGCAAGATTTCTATGTACAACTTCCCTGTACAGAATGTTTGACAATCTTTAACACTTCTCACACCTAACTGGCACAGAAGCCAGAATTTCAAAGGATCCAAATTGCCTGATAATATCTCCCTTAATAAGCAGAAACTTGAACAATTGCCTAACTACATGTCCATTATCAACCCTGTCTACAAAGGAAGGGAACAAGATGCTGGAAGCCCAACAGTAACAGTGTATCCTGCTCTCTGTTCTTGTCTCTGCCCAAGACACTTTGTAAAACAGAGCTGCAGATACGTGAACAGACACGGATCTTCTACTACTAGAAATTTTGATGAAGTGTAAGATGACAAGGACTTAAAATATACTTGAACTGTTAGTATTTTACAGAAGTCCAAATCTCTAACACCATTTAAACAATTACAATATAAATCCCACTACAGATAACGACTGCCACATTTACTTCCACTCATTCAGTTTTGTAGCTTGTTCTGACAATCTCTCCGGGATGTAGTTATGTGGACTGTGATGCACATGTAATCTCTACTCGCTCTTTAAGTCATCCAGGCCTATGTTTTTGGTTCCACAGAACATTTGTGCACCAACACTGTCTATCCAGCATGCTAAGAATTGCCTGATCATCTATGTAGCATTTAGGGGACTGGCTCAGATAATGCACTGCAATTATAGTCACACGGCCAAAGCTGCTCCTTGTTTGTCTACCAGAATTTGAGAATCCTGCCCGTGTCTGCCCGAACTACCAGATTTTCGGCTGCTGTTGTTTCTAGTTCAGCTCATTAAAGTAAAGCAATAATGTTATCGTGTTACTGTTCATAATTCCAAACGAAAGCTGTTACTCTCATGGAGAAGAAAAAAACCCTCAGTATTTAAGGCTTATTGTCAGGGTCACAGAATACATCTATGGTGCTTGTGGATTTTGATGCTGCATTTGAATGCAGGATCTACCATCTCTGCTCTTGAATTTGCATGACACCAAAAGCGACAAGAATCTGGAGCTACGGATTTCGGTGTTGCAAGGATGAGGACGTTGCGTTAGCCTAGCCCTGCTCTTTGTTCAGCCCATTAGGGCCTGTCAGGTCCCATCCATCTCGCTGACAGCTCTGCCGCGTTGGCGGCGGCTGCTTGAGGTACCTCAGACGGACAAAGCCAAGGACACACTTGGGAGCAGGCTGGAACTCCCCTGAAACCGACTGTCATTTTCCAGGCATCTGTTACCCAGTGGAGCGAGACCCTTCGTGGCCAGACTGCTCTAAGACACAGGGATGGCTCCTGACTGCGCTTTCAGCAAGCAAAGGATTCTCCAGGAAGATTAGCACTTGGTTCACAGGGAGCCTCCTACACGTTCGTGAAGGCGCTTGCCACATCCAGACTGGATTTCCCTGCAAAACAAGTTCTAGTTCCCCATCAAGTTTTAGTTTTGCATCAGAAATGAAGCATATGGATACAAATCAGAAGTTAGATAAATATAGTCGGGGCTTTGATTAAAATGACCATTTTAATCTATTTTTACTGTAATTTTGGGGGAGTTTTCTTTTTCAAGTGGTGACTATTCAAATTTAATTTACAACATCTCCTTCTACCAAAGAAGATACATTTACTTATTTACTTGGTTATAGTATTATGCCCTTTAGTTTCACATCTGTGCCCTTTCAGATCTGCTGTATCATCCTTTGCGTGCCCTCACGGAGCCGAAGAGCGAGGCTCCCTCCCAGCCGCTCCAACGGCCGCCTCGGGGAGCCCTGAGAGCCGCCCCGGGCAGGGCCGTCGATGGGCGGGGCGGAGGGGTGGGGGAACGTGAGGCAGTGCAGTTCCGCCTCGGTACCCGTCATGCCTAGCGACTCCGCTCACGCCTCTAAGCGAGTGCTTATCGCGTGATGCGCAGCGGCGTCACTCTTGCAAATGCGCATGAGCAAAGCGGGCACGGCCCCTTCGTCGGCCTGTTGCGCACGCGCAGCGAGTTCCTCGCCCGGCCCTCCGCACTGGCTCCCTCCTCGGGCGCGGCGTGACGCGCTGACGCATGCGCAGAGGCGCACCCCTCCCCCCCGCTGCCGAGCCGAGGGCGGCGCCATGGCGGCCGGCAGTGCGGCCGGCGCGGCGCCGGTGTCGCTGGCGCTGCTCTGGTTCGCGGCGTCGCTGCTGTCCCGCGGCGCCGCGGGCTCGGAGGCAGTCGGGGCGGCGGAGCCGCCGGGCGGCGCGGGCCCGGGCGAGCGCTATAAGATCGAGGGCCGTGCCGTGGTGCCGGGCGTGAAGCCGCAGGACTGGATCGCGGGGGCCCGGGTGCTCGTGGACGGGGAGGAGCACGTCGGCTTCCTCAAGTGAGCGGCGGGGCGGGGGGCAGCCGTTAACGGCGCCGCGAGCCGGCGCGCGCCGCGGTTAGCGTCCCGGCGCCGAGGGAGCCGCGGCTCCGCGCGTGCGGCTCCGCGCGTGCGGCTCCGCGCGTGGGGCTCCGCGCGTGGGGCTCCGCACGCGCCGCCCTCGCAGCGGCCGCGCCCGCGGCGCGCAGCGGCCGTGTCAGCGCGCTGCCCTCGGGCTCGGGCTCCGGCTGATTCGTGAGTGAGACTTTTCAGGTGTCAAAATATTAGAGCTGGCGTTTCATTAGAAAAGTAGGGGAAAAAAGCATTTTGTTCTGCCCTACAGTCCTACGTCTTAGCTTTATTAGGCCCAGATTCTGTCACTTTTTCATTTTAAGACCTTCTGATCAGTAAAGACTCCCTCCGCCCCTCTTTTCCGGAGCATAGTGGGGAGAGGGAGGATGAACAAGACTAGCCCACAGTAGCGCTTCCTCGGTCACTGTTGCAGATGCACCTTGGGCTTTGTCCAGCGAGGAACCAGAACAGCAGAGGGGCAGAAGTTTACAGCTGTAGCTAACTGCCGCAAACAAACTTGCAGCAGTGGGAAACCCTTTCACACATTATGGTTTTATTCCTTCAATGAAAGTGGTGCAAATGCATTTGGAAGCCACGGAAGCCATCGCACTAGCTCATGCAGTCTCAGGTGACAGTGGGTACGTTTAAAAAAAAAAAAAAAAAAAAGCCCTCAATATTTAATGCGGAATATTGCTTTCCATGTTCTATCAAAATTAAGGTACAGCATCTCATAATTGATAAATGCTTTAGGTTATTCCCTCTGCAAGTGGATGACCCAAACTTTGGAAACTGCTAGTTATCAGAACAAATTTTACTTGGCTGAACTTGTAGAATGGTTTCAGTAAAGCACCTGTTAAGTCAGTATAAGTGTGTTGAACGAGCCTTACGTCGTACTGAGAAGTAAATACTGTGGAGCTGATGAGTTTCCAAGCTCTTGTTTATAGTTGGGATTATATGGATTATGAGGAAGCAATCTTAGCTATAAGTGTACCTTGTTTATGACACTGTAACATAGTTACCAAACTATATTGATTATGTACATCAAGCTGTATGTATTTTTCAATAAAGGCACAAAGCATATTTTTTGTGCTTTGCAATTCACCACTAATGTGTTGGCACATTATGTAGGATCTCAAATTTCTTTTTAGTTCCATCAGGGCTGAAGTAAACTTCATTGTACCTATTTCAGAAGGAGATAGGAAGTTATGAGTCAACTCTGACATCATTTGAGTATATGAAATCCAGCTGTTTCAGATATCACCTAGACTGATGAATTATTCCTGCCACAAGCCAATAGCTTTTGCACATGAAAAAAACTTGAATGTAACTGGTAATTAATGCTGCTCTTGTGACACACATTGAAAATTTTAAGGGTCTTAGTTTTATGAGTGCTGAGTGAATTAAAATTCCTTTTGTTCATTGTTGTAATACTAAGATTTATAATACAAAATGATGCGATTATAATTTCTTAAACACTCAGCGCTGTTGTGTTTTGGAGTGTATTGAAATGATGTGGAACTTATGTTTTGCAGGACAGATGGAAGTTTTGTGGTTCATGATATACCTTCTGGATCTTACGTAGTGGAAGTTATATCCCCTGCTCATAAATTTGAACCTGTTCGAGTTGACATAACTTCAAAAGGCAAAATGAGGTGGATCTTCTCTGTTTGTTTATTTACTTATTTCTGCATTGATCTACTAAGTGTGCCCAATAATGTGGTATGGTATGTAGTTTTTGCAAAACTGATACTTCGATTTCAGGCAGTATGTTGCAGCCTCTTTTCGCATAACTTCTAAGAAAAAAATTCTTAAAATCCAAAGTCTAATTTTTCTTCCCTTGTGTTTTTATGACCTTAAAATAGGAGGAACTGGATGAATCATGGAGGATTCTACAGCTTGTTTACTTTCACTAGCTTCTCACACAACTATCCTGAAATAAAATCTAGACATAGATCAGTTGAACTGCTTTCTCTTTACACATACCTTATTTGCCTCCTTTTATTCCTTGCATTTTTGATAACACAATCACAATCTACAATGAAGGACCAAATTTGTTCCTAAATTCTATAATATGTCCATTAGATCTTCAGGAAATCGCCTTATTCATTGATGCCAGTAGTTGCCAGCCTGCAGTTTTTCTGCAGCAAAGTTAGACTATTTTTGCTTGCTTTGGGCAAGTAGATCCCAACAACCGTATAAGTGTGTGTTCTGGACACACTGTTCAGTAAACAATACAGAGAAATGATCTTATTTATTAAGGTGATATTAGTTTAAATAAATCTTCTTGTGCCTGCTTTTCTTTTGGATGCACACCTATATCTTAATTTCATCCTTGTTGTCTGTCTTATGAAATGTTATGCATGATAGATTTTTTAAAATGACAGTAGTATTGTTTTGAATACTTCAAAATTGAAATCTTTACATGAAAACAGACGAAACAATCTGTTTATAATAACAGCACTTTTTTTTAATGAACTTCGTTTGGAATGATATTGAGTAATCTTTTTTTCGTTAGTTGGAAGATTGTAAATTTTCTTTTTTAATTACTTGCTTTTTGTTCATTAGAGCAAGATATGTAAATTACATCAAAACTTCTGAAGTTGTAAGGCTGCCATACCCACTTCAGATGAAATCTTCTGGACCTCCTTCATACTTCATAAAGAGAGAATCTTGGGGATGGACAGACTTCCTCATGAATCCTATGGTATGTATAAGCATGACACAGAAATGAAGACTATGCTAAGAATGCAAGCACTGTAGTTCTCCATAATACTGAGACCAAAATAGATGTACTGTTTGCAAGCGACTGCTTGCATAATGTTCTTGAGACAAGGAATCTTTAGGTGGTTTGCTGCTGAAAAATTCTTACTGATAATTGCAACAGATATACTGATACTGCAGCTCACACTTAAGATGTCATGCTCTCAACAAGAGGACTTTTTGTTCTTGTTGTAAAAAATGAGGCATTGCAGCAGCTTCAAACATAGTTACATTTGCAAATAACATGTATGGACATCCATAGTGGAATGCTTCTCATCGATTAATCAGTAATTAATGGAATTAAACTGCCCATTGTTTGCACAATTAAAAAAAATTGGTCAGATAGAAATGTTTTCAGTTTAAATTTTTAATTAGACTATGAATGACCATATGTGTTAATTTGCAGAGAAGAAAATCATAAATGCCATCCAGGCATCATCTGTGTTTTCTTTTTCTGCAGCTAATAGCATGCCTTAGCTTGCTAGGTCTAAATTTTTGCTTGTCTTTAAATGAGCCATCCTTGAAAAAAAAATGTTCATTTTAATGTTTCTCCAGTTTTAAAATAGCAGTGCTAACATTCATACCATTCTGAATGTTTGACTTGAATAGATAAAGACATTGGCACTTGTTTTGTGAGGGCGCTTCATTTTTGTGCTTTTTTTTTTTGATAAAACTGAGCTTTAGAATAATATCTGATGAAAATGTGCAAATTGTTTCTTTTTTTTTGCCCTGTTTTTTAATATAAAGATTTTTCTCTGACCTCTTCTTTTGATGACTTGATACTGATTCTGGTAGTGTGGAGTTCAACATGTGCTAGCTTGTAATCATAAGAGTTGAAGGAATTGTCAAACACTTACATTAGTGGTCCAACTTTCACATATTTATTTGTAACTTAATTCTTCCCTACTGGTTTCTTTCCTAGCAGTTGGGTTACTGATGCAGATTTCAGTAGTTTTAGAATTTGGCTAAATATCTAATGTATTTATGAAATATCTCAAATATCTAAAATTATTTTTTCGTGATAACTAAGCTGGAAAAAAAATTCCTGGTCTTTTCTTTGTAGGTGATGATGATGGTTCTTCCATTACTGATATTTGTGCTCTTGCCCAAAGTTGTCAACACCAGTGATCCTGACATGAGACGGGTAAGTAGGTTCAGCTGATGAGCTGATGAACATGGTGAGCAAGGATAACTACAGAGAAGGTAGAGAAAAGTGATACAACCAAAAGAGGACTTTTGGGGAAGGCCTAATAGTGTTGTTTATTCAGTTAGTAAAATGTTGCTGTTTTAGTAATGAATTCTGATATTTTGGACTTGTGATTTTTTTGTGCTTGTTGTATCACACAAATCACTTGGCACAGCTTGGAAAACGTTACAGCATGAATGGTGTTTTACAGATCTTTAATACATGAATTTATTTCTCAAAGGCTAGATTTTCTCTCAAATTCCAACTATTTCTGTACTTTGTTTAAAGTTTAGCATTTTATTTTTAAAAATTGCATAATGAATGACATGTAGTGTGTTACAATAAATAGGATGTGTTGTCTCTTAACCCAGAAAAGCATAGTTTAAAAGCTTGTTAATGTCAGGTGCTGTAGTAGTACATATTGTATGAAGTCTTAATGTAGTTATTAAACAATCTGATTTATTATCCTTCCACCATGCAAAATGCCAATAGCAGAAGGCTAGGACAAAGTGGAGATTCAAGGTGTTTGCTAAATTTTCTTCTCTTGTTTTTAAAACTATTCCTTGTCTGCCTTGGGTGGCTTCTTTTGCGGGGCTTGGTTCATTTAAATTGCTTTTCTTCTGAATGACCACTGTCTTCAGTACTTTATGGGTGTTTGAGCTTTTTCTTTTCAAAGTAATACCTATAAAAAGTTTATCAGAAGTATGTAATGCCTCTTCTGGCTTCAATTTCTATAAAAACAGAATATGAAAATACACTAATCAATCCCTGACATAGTCATATAATGGCTGTGTATTAAATTCTAAAATGTGTATCCAAATTCAGTTTGCCTGTGAAGGGTCTGGAGCTCGTAGTATATTTTTCAAGTTAGCTTTTTCTTTCCTTTAGTACTTATTTATATAGAAAGTTGATGATCTAATAACTGTACTTACTGTAGGAATACTAAGTATAGAAGTAACAGTAACAAAAGGCTGCCTTTACAGCTTTTGTTTAAATTGTATCTTGAACATAGTTTAAGCTGTATCAGTGCAAGGCAGTTTTGAATGGTAACTAGAAAAGCAAGGTAACAGCACAACTTTAAATTTGTGAGTAGTATAAATATTATCCCATTCTCCATGAGCTGTTGCTTATCTCTTCGAACAACTTCAAAAATGCAGATGTTAGATGTGTATTAATAATCGGTGAGTCAAACTTTGAAAGCACAAAAAATATACAAAATCCATAAGAATGCGCATCCATAGATATAAACAAAAGTTTAAAAATAAAATGCAAGAAAGTCATACTGAAAATGACGATTATTTCAATGGAGTCCTTTTTTATAGCAAATGATATTTTTTTCCTATTATTTTGCCCTGTAAGGCTACTTAAGACGTGGTTACCTTTTTCCATACACCGTTGCTTTTAGTTTCTGTTTTTTATGTTCCTGTGTTGGTTGGTTGTGGTTGCTTAAAGAATGTGCCTAGCAATACATTCTTTGGGAGACTACTAACAGTAAAACAGTAATAGGGAAAATTTCACATCTTCCCGATGCAGTCTTTGAAATGAAGCCTCAGAAACAGCCTGTACTGTCATGAGCCCCTTTTGAGGTTATCTAATCTTTGTATGCAGGAAATGGAGCAGTCGATGAACATGCTGAATTCCAACCACGAGCTGCCAGATGTCTCTGAATTCATGACAAGACTTTTCTCTTCAAAATCTTCCAGCAAGTCTGGTAGTAGCAGCAGTAAAGCAGGGAAAAGTGGTGCTGGGAAAAGGAGGTAGTTATGCCTTCCTCCTAGGCCTGAGGTTGCACAACTGTTTGTTATGTGGTATCATGTTTATTTGTCTTGAAAGATCAAAAAGCCACTACTGTAAACTTTAATCAGGCATGAAAATGAAGTGCTACAACTGTTGTGTGTAGCTTTTTTTAGTCTATTTAAGCAGTTTTGTACTTGACAGTAAGCAAAAGAAGACTTGGCTTCAATACTGTATCTGTGTAAAGTCACTGATATACTGATTTAATTATATTGCTCTGTAGAGAATGGTATAAATTATATGATGTCATAAACAGTAATGAATGTCTTAATGATGAGACAATATATAAAGAAATTATTTCAAAGATAATTGGAATGGAGTTTGCTTTTAAAGATAGCTTTATTTTTTATGTTTTCTCTCTGAGGTTTGACATGAACAAATTCTTTCAAAATTGAGTCATGGGTTTATTGAGAAAGGAATTTGCTGTATCCACTCATCATGTGCATTATATATGGGATCATTTTATTTTATACTGTTTACTGCCTATAAGCTTTATTTAAAAACTTTCCACTCCGTTTTACTGCCCAATATTACTCTGATAATATTCTGATATTCTGCCCAAAAAAAAAAAAAAAAAAAAAAAAAAAAAAAAAAAAAAGAGTTTAGGACTAAAAAGGAAAACATCCTTTTGCAGAAGGTCCTTTAAGCTCTGTCAGGTTTAATATGAATCCAAGGTATCGACACAATATGATGAATATTTATCTTGGATCTTTCTATTCTAAATCACATGTATCATTTCTTCAGCACTTCTGATTCATGTCCTGTACATTAATCTTATTGGTACTGTGATTTAAGGCCAATTACAAGTCACAAATGTTTAAAAATGAAAAGAAAAAAAGACTAAGCATGTAACAAAGTAAATCCTGCTCAGCTTTAAAAATTGTGTACGTAGTGGTAAACTTTACACATCCTAAGTCACTGACAATAGTTCTTTTTTTGACCATGTCTGTGTATATCTTTCAGGCTATTCAGCAGTGAATTCAGGAGTTGAAAAGTTGATTATTTTCCATTAGAAGAACATTTGTAAAATAAAATGACAGCCATATGTGCCAACCTCCATTAGCAACTGTCTGTAAATCATTTTGAGCATATGGAATTATTTCTTTCCAAAACAGACATTTGTAATGGCAGTTATGCTGTCCTTTTCCATTTTTATGACTGCTGACTTCTTAGGTAACAGTCTCCAAGCAATATGGGTAATGTTTCCCTTATTCAAAAAATGGTATATAACATTGATTTAACGCATACCTCAAGCAAAATCAGCTCTAGTGTGAATGTTTATTCTGAGGTTTTTGAACACTTACATATTCTAAGCCAATATGTAGTCTTTCTAGTTTCTACCTTGGAATATAATGTGAAACAAAAAACTGCAGAAGAAAGGTTCATGTAATGAAGTTAATATTCAAGATACTGGATGAGCATTAGACCAGCATTGTTTTTTGGTCAGTCAGAAGTTTCAGTCTTCTTAATATGAACGTTAGGATTTTTTTTTTTTAAGTGAAGTTTTTTTTTGTTTTTTCTTTGTATTTTAAATAAAAGGTATCTAATCGAGACAAGAGGATATTGAAATATTCTTGCTAGAATTATATACTGAAATCAGTTTTTAACCAAAGTTACAGAGCCTATATATAAACCTGGGATTTCCTACTGCCAACCACCTTTTTTAACAGACCCTTGCCGAAAAATTGATAGGAAAAACAGGGAGCAGCTCTTTGAAGGTAGAGCCAATAGCTTTGCTATTGTGCTATATACTAGGATTTACAAGCCTTGAGTTACTTTTCTTTAACAGTAAGTGATATGACAATTAATCTATGTTAACTTATTATCTTAATCACATTTTGTTCAATAATTAATCGTATTGACAATTGCTTCCATGTTGTGAAGTTCGGAACAGCAGTATGTCTGCCTTCTTTCAGCCTGTCTGTTCGAGGCCTTGATCGTCTTTAAGGGAAAACGGAGAATTCAGAAGATGGAAAAGTGACATTTTCTTCCTAAAAGTTAAGAGTAAAAAGCAGCAGAATTTGTAAGGATCCTAATAAAACTTTGGTAGGAGCATATGGAATATTCAACACTTTTTTTTTCCTCTCATGTAACTGATAGACCAGTTTTCAATCAGTTTCTCTGCATGTCAGAATCAGATGCAGTGTACTACTCCTCGCTCCCAAAGAAAACTCCATCCACCACCAAAAATCTGTTATCCAAGCAACTCAGAACCCTCTTACGTAGCACAATTTCTTCAATCTGATCTGCTCTTTTTTAAGAAGCCTATGTGGTTTGTAGATGCCAGACCAGTGTGCTGCTGAACCTAGTGCAATCTGTATCGGTACCAGCTGTTTCTAACTTGGAGCTGGAATATAGGTGTCAAGTAAGGTAAGAGGTTCTAGCCAGACTGCTGTAGCTTGTTGCCTCAGGCCCTCATAAAAGCCAACTGGCAAAATTCATTTGGTAGCTGTTGTACATCTACCCATAAAGCTTTCCTATTGTTACTATAGTAAGATAACACAAGGTTGTCTTTTTTTTTTTTAAGTAAACATTTGCTCTGTTTGTTTTTAATTTTTTGTCTTTATTTACAGTTTTTTTTAGTAGTCTTTCTGCTCTGTCAGAGATAACTTGTCACTCTGGTATCCCAGCAGCCATAGCTGCAAGTGGGCTGTCTGAGAAGCTGTACAGCAGATCAGCTGTAGCAGCTGATCCCTCAGAATAGAAGTTAAAGGTGTACAAAAACTGCTTGAACCGTAGATCATTCTTGCATTGTGAGTTCACCTGTAGACAAGCATTTCCTTATTGCCGTAAGGAAAAAGACTTCTTCCCATAACTTGCATTGCATAAACCTGCTTCCTTCTGCGTGCCAGCTCTGACACTTGTCAGACCTTGCCATGCTTTGACTTAACAGGAGAAAAATTTCTGTCTTTTTGCATTATGTTTTAGGGAGTTGAATGAGCTTACAGAAGGATCACACAAGTGCCAGAGCCAGCAGAAGGCGAGCACCAGAGGCAGGCAGCCAGAGGCAGACACCTTCCTGTGTTTGTGGCTGTGAGTGAGTCAGGTATTAAATCAGCTCATTGCCTCTTGAGGAACTGCAGCCTAAGAGCAATTTTGGCCTTGTTCTGAATGAGTGGCAACTCTGAACGAGTTTTTGACAGGCTGTGTAGAAGAGAAGAGACTTGCATCCTGCTGAGGACTGTCTCAGGTGTCATTTATATAAGGCAGTGTGGACGCTTGCTGTCAGAGGTGCCTTGAACAATTTGAGATAATTTTGTCAATGACTTCACTGTTTTCCAATTCTTCAAATGGAAGAAATATAATACTGTTAATACTGTTGTGTGGATAATTGTCACTATTGTTTTAAACAAAACATTTCTTGTGCTCTTCATGATTTTTATGAAATGGGGATGGTGCTTGTAAGTAGGGGTAGGTAGCTGCTAAAATTGACTCCTGTTACTTCAAGAAAAAAAGGTCAGGCTTTGGTTGAAAATTGATTTAAACTCCAGAATCAAATACATGATGCAACTGCTGGTCTTTGAGTAAATTGTTTAAGATTTCTGTTTCAACTTCATGTGGATGAAGTATGAGCAGCTTGTCTTTTAAGTATTGTAAAGATGAATTTGGTAATGAATATCAGGCACCCATATAGGGTGCGATGGGTTTACTGAAGGAAATCCACTATGTAATTTTGTTGAAGAGCATTAAGTGCATTAATCTACATTAAGCATGTAGATCTTTACACATATTTATTAAATCAACCCTTTAAGTAACAACAGATCAAGATTTCCAAAGCATCTAGGCAATTTAAATACATATTCTTTACCAGTTTAGTGGAAAGTGTACCAAATCACTAAGATCAATTTAAATGTCCCCACCTGGGTGTTAGTGGCTCTATAATTGCATAAAGACTGCATGCGGTCAGCAGCTGATGAGATTTGTCTAAGCTGTGTCAGAGAATGTCAGGTAGTTTCTATATGAATAGGAGGACAAACACAAAAGAAGGTAAAGGGTTTTCTTAGTGGTGTACCCTGGTGTTGTGGAGAAAAAAAAAATAGAACCGTGAAAATGCAGTGCTTAAATTCAAACAGACTTTGTAATGAAAAGTAGCCTCCACCAAAACTGTAGGGAGAAAAGCTAATGAAAATACAGGAGCTGAAATACTATGTATCTTTAGAGACTTCTGCTTTTTCACAGTATTTTAATGTGTGATTACTGTTCTTTGTGCTTGGAAGTCTGTCAGTGTAAATTACAATCCTGTCTGAAAGTTGCTAACCAAGTAATACCTACAATTATTCTGTGAAAATTAACAGAAGGCTGTTGGGTTGTTTTGATGAGGTTATCTATTATTTTACAGAGCATTTTATAGTCAGCTTCTTTCTTTTGTATATCAGATATAGTTGTTTGTTTGCTTTCTTGAAGCAGTGGAGAAGACAAATATTTTCAAAATGAGTAAGCGTGGCTGCGAAAGCCACATAAATATGCTGGTGCAGTCAGAGTACTCACAATACTCTTTTTTTTTTCTTTCTTTTAATTGACTATTCTTGAAGTCGGTGTTCCTTTGTTTACAAATCCAAATGTGTAATTAATGAATCATAAAATGTGTACTCATCCACTCCTAGGAGCATGTAAACATCATTTTAAAAATATATCGAAGATGCTAACATTTTTTAAGAGTATTAATTTCAGCTTAAATGCATTTGCTTTAGTAACTGTAGTTTCACTTACAGCTTCAAACCAGCCCCTCATCTGACGGAATTTAATGTTGTTTTGGGGGCTTGTGATTCTACAGCATATGTATTTTAAGGAAGTCTTCTGGGTGCGGGTCAGAAAGTTGCTTGTTCTTATTCAATCTAATCTGTAGTACGGGAGGAGATTTAAATTGCACACCAAGTGAAAGAGAGCAAGGGTTCTACAGTTTGCTAGAGGGTCTGGAGTTTCTGTTTTTCACAGGATAGCAATAATAGCAGTATTTTAATGTACTGAAAGGATTTCACTTTTGAATGTACAAAACATCATGTCTGACCTTAATCTTGCTACTTTTGATAGCTTGTAAATGGTACATTTGTATTCCCATGGTATCTTGTTTCATTTGTAACTTTTTCCTCTTAGGAAAATAACCAGTGTGAAATATAAATAATAATAAATCCTCAGTGGCAGTACCTGTTTTTCATCCTAATGTGTCAGGCTAGCCTACTGGCTAGCCTACTGGGGATGCTTATTATGACTACTCTAGTGGTTAAAAAACTGAAGGAGAATACAAATTTAGAAGCTCT